ACATTCTTTTTAGTTTTACAGCTTATTGAACCTTTTTGTTTGACATCAGCCATTATAGATAATACGGCCATCTGAGTGTGTGTGGTACTGTTTGTGTTTTGTTTTTAACTGTGTAATACAGTTAATTATTCAAAATGTTAGGGTTCCTTATTTTTACACTGAAACTTGCACTAATGTTCAAAAATAAATAAGAACAAACCTGGAATTATGCATTTGGGACTTCTTTTTGCTTTTTCTTGTTGTACCGAACCCGTACCGAACCGTGACCCCCAAACCGAGGTACCTACCGAACCGTGTATTCTGTGAACCGTTAAACCCCTATTAAAATCCAAATATTTATTGCAGGTTAGATTAAAACATTTCTATATTGTTTATTGTGTGACAGTCAGTAGATGTCATCCTAGCAAAATGGTTAATAAATAAATCACAATAGTAATGAATACTTATATCCATGTTATCATTCATTGCTACATCAGGTTTTTTAAGAAACCTCATTTGAAATTGTTGTCATGGGGCTCAGTGTGTTTGTGAGTTTTTTCATCGTAAAGCAGAACCTGCTGTTTGCAACCCGCCCAGCCCGAGTGTATCTATCCACCCGTCATGTTCCCATAATGCTTTGTGGCAGCTGCAGCCAGATTCATGCACACAAGTATTGATTTTCTTCCCAGTTTTTTTCTTTTTCTTCCGTCAACTCAACCCTTTATTTACCTCACTAAGCCCCTGCCACTGGGTGCGAGACAAATTCAACACGAGAGCCGCTAACCTGAATCCATTCTCATGTATCTGCTGTTCCTCTGCCGCAGAGTGTAATCCTGCACTGTGTGGGATGTATGTGTAGGTATGCACGTGTGTGTTTGTGCCGTCCGTCCGCACAAACACTTAATTCTCCACAGGCCACCTGACCCATTTTTCTGAGTGAATAACAAAACTCCAGCCAATCATTCCGGAAAAAGACTGTCACACGTCAGAGTCCTAACCCTGCCTGTCGACAGGGATGCAGAAAACAGAGTAAGTTAACCTCCCCCTCCTTCTCCCTCTATATCTCCAGCACAGAGGGACCAGTAAAGCCATTACCCACCCACCCCAGCTCAAGGTTGTACTGTGCCAATGGCTGCACTTCCTAGCATGCTAAGAAAAGGGCAAAACCAACAGCGAGCAAGGCTGCTCCTGACAAAAGGCATTCATTATACCGCACCACCTCCAGCTACAGTTTAACGCAGATTACATTCCACCCTCTGTTATCTAACAGTTACAGTAAGTTACCATCCTCTAAAAATACACCAAAGCTTCGATGAAGGAAGGCAAAGATTTTACTTTTTAATTTGCTTTCATTAAATGTTAATTAAATCTTTATGTAAACATGCTTAACACAGAGTTGCTCACACACCTGATTCAGAACACCTCAGGGTGGACTCAATGTATCCATAGTGACAAGCATCACTTGCATACACATTTGCATGGTTCCAGCCCTATTTTGTAGCTGTCTTGGAATGGAAGACAGTAGGAACGTCCAGCCTTTTCCTAGTAACCCTTGGTATTTACTTCAAGGGCCCATTATACACAGACAATTACTCAGACATGGTGCGCCTGGCTCCCCTCCCTCTCCAGACTGGCAGCAGAAATAACTCCAACACATCCCAAATGTCAACAAACATGACATGACAACTGGTAGATGCAGAAGCTGCCTCAGCAAATGTTCAGACTCAAAGTGTTGGAGCAATCTCCTCACACAACTATCTCACTATCCTAACAACCAGCAGCACAGGTAGAATAGAATAGAAAATATATTATAATCACACAGGTCGTTGACACCGGAGACATTACTATTTCAAAGTTTGTAAAAAATGTTCTGAAAAATAGCTTGTAGCAAGAAATGTGTCAATGAAACACTTATAAAAAGGGTTATTTGCACAATAAGTTGACTAAAAATGCAACATGAATATTAATGTGGGTAAAAAACACCTTACTTATATAAAATGACCGAAAATGGATGGATGCACATTCCAAAGAGGGAGCATGAGCAAAAACAGAAAGATGGAAGCTGCAGAGAGATGAGGGAGCAGAGAGAATCTCTGTGTGATGGCCGGCGGCCCTGGTGCTTAGCTCATGTGCTGAATAAAAAGGAGCCCCTGTGTGTGTGTGTGTGTATTTATGTGTGTGTGTGTGTGAGTCTCTGCAGTAATGCTGGGGGGTCAGCCCCCTCTCAGGCCTACTGCTGCTGAATGCAGTGCAAGCAGCATCGGGCCAAGGCAAATGACTACAAGGCCTCCTCAGAGACTGCAGCGTGGCTGCACCTGGGGAGGGGCCCTGCTCAGCAACATAGCCTCCGCTGGCCCCCGCCCATCAGCTACACTAATCATGACCCAGGCCCTTCAGCGGGCATATGTCATGTCTAAAGTACAAAAGTGTGGAATCTGTTCCTGACTGGATAAATGAGTTATAATCCCTCAAAATCTGATCACAGTGATGGTCAGCTGGGCCTTCTCATACTCTTAACTACAGTACATTACCACAGATGGTTAAAATGTCCACTGAAATAAGCTAAAGATAGATAACTGAGAACTTAAATTATCTTCTTCAAACAGGAAGCAGCAGTCGCATGCAGAGCTTGTGCTCCAGGCGTTGCAAGTAAAGTAAGTCATTAACAAAGTTTATACAGCGCCAATAGTTACAGTATGATAGGCTTTCCATAAGAGCCTCAAGGCTGCTGGGGCTTTACCAGAACTGACCATCACTCCTATAAGCTAGCTAGCTAGCAAAGATGGTTTGCGGTACCACACCATTAAAGACTGCTCAAGTGACCGTGCAATATTAACGGTGCCTACGTTTAGAAAACAGTCCAGTGGTACCTTACTTTAATAGTAAAAAAAAACATTTTTAACTTTTAATTGTATAGTTCACTTTTTACCAGTTGCAGCTAGTTGCGTACCTTCCGTTATGTAGCCGAGATGGCGACTGTTGGGTGCAAGAAGTCTACAGGGTTCCACATTCAACTTTTACACCATCCAGGTACAAGCATGCATATGACACACAACTGTTCTCATATTAAGTCACAAATGTAAAGGAAAATAAGTCAGAAAATAAAACTCTGTTGCAACATTAGCAATAGCAGGTAATATATTTTTTCCTCCTGGTAAAGCAAGTTTAAAAGTCAAGAGCAAAAAGTGGATATTTTCTACAGACAAACACCAGACCACACTATAAAACTGCTTATAGAGTGCCACAGTGACGCCTCCTAAAACCCAGAAGTAAGTTAGCATTTTACCACTTCCGGTTCCTTCGACAAAAACCAATGCAATTTTGTCACGATCTTGGTGTTATGTCACGGTTTTAGTTTTGTCTGTCTGGTAATGGGTTTTGTTTTGCTGTTCTGTTCTCCCTGTCTCTTGTTGTCCTTCCTGTGTTATTCCTCCTGTGTCTGATTGTCTCATTGTGTTCACTTGTTGCCCTTGTGTTTCTGCCTCCCTTACCCAGCTATGTCTCGTCCTGTGATTACCCCTCTCTGTATTTAGTCTTGTCTTCCCCTGTGTGCCTTGTCGGTTCATTGTCTTTCCTGTCTCCCTCCATGTTGGTGACGGTCAGTTTTGGTGTAATTGTTACCTTGTGCTACCTGTGTTTTTCATGCCATGTTTTTTGTGTTCATCAGCTTTTAAAATAAAGCTCACCTTTTGTTTCTTGATCTTTTACCTTTTTTTGTAGTCTGCATTTGGGTCTTACCTTTTCCGCGATCATAACAAATTTCTCCATAGGATTTTGGAAAATAGCTCGAAATAAGGTCTGTGGTTGACACAAATTGAAGAGACGGATCAAGTTTTGTTCAGCCGGATAATATCCACATGTCTACCCTACTTTTATAATTTTCTAATCATAAATCTAATCAATAGATTTATGATAGATATATTTATGATTAGAACATTTTTAAGGACTTTACTTCCGGGTTTTAGGACGCGTCACTGTGGCACTCTATTGGACAGCTATACTGCACTGTACATTTTATTGGATGTCCTGACCCTATGCATTTTTTATCATGTTTTGCCATTCTTTTCTAATGGACACCAGGGCTCATTGTTAGTCTACTCTGCAATAACTCAAAAAATATCTACGTCCATTGAGAACAACACAGGGCGGCACATCATGCTACACTCCATTTCACAAAGTTTTTTGTTTGAATTCCAAGTGTTGATAATATTTTTGTCGATTAAAAATTAAAATGTGTTGAAGCTCGGTCATGGAGATGCGGGGGTTAAGCCATCTTGCATTGCGCTGTCAGTTACGTGCACATAGACTTACAGACAAGGACCCACGCACACAAATAGTGCACTTAAAACGTGTGTAGCAGAGGATGAGGGAAATGGACGGTGTGTCAGTAGGATGCGTTCACTGAGACGTGAAGAAGGACCATTTGCTCATGGATTCATAGGCTTCCGTCATCCATTATTTAGCATGGAGACGAGCAGTGGATTGGTGGCTGGATGATTTTTCTGACAGCGTTTACATGGCTGATGGCTACAGACATGACGATTTTTGCTGCTTTGTTTTGATGGTGCGGAAACTTTTTTTCTTCAAACGCACCAATGTATTCTCAATAAGAAAAGTATAGATTCCATCCTAGCATTCAGCTATTTTTGCAAACACGCTTGCGGCAAATCCATTCATGAACAATTAAGAGATTGCTATATATTTCAATATGGCCAATTTCGCCTCAGAGGACAATTGTGAAACGTCAACAAAAAAAGCAGTTGCTGGCCAGCGTTTGCCCTCCATGCAAAAGCTAAATGGCATTAGCCTTTGTCTATTGAGTTTGCTAAATGCCCCACATAAAGTGTATTTGCCCCCCAAGGCTGGGAAACAATCGCGCAGGCGAGCGTTCCATTAAAGTGATTTGAATGATCAGAGTGCTGCAGTGCTTCCTATCAACCAGAGAAATGGGTCAATACTGTGAGGCCAAGTGACATGGTTGGCAGCCTGCGCTCCCGTGGAAGAGGAGCGGGACCTCACTGTCACTGGGTCAGACAGACTGGTAACATTCGTAGGGTTAGCTCAGACAACAGAACTCATCCCAGGTCAGCAAAGAGGTAAACAACAGAATCCTTATCAGTAGCTTAATACTGACGCCACATTTCCAACTCCCACACACTGAGCTTTCGGACATTGAGCAGTGGTTAGTGTAGTAAAGAAAGATGCCATGACTTACTTTCAGCGTTGATTGACATTGTGTCTTTCTCCCAGGACACAACAGTGATGTAGGCCTCCACTGAGGAAGGGATAATGCACTTGAAGACCGCCACATTTCCTCTCATGGCTTTCTGGTCCTCCACCCGGACAGTGTAGGGCTCTCGTAGGACTGACAGGAGGGGACAGATTGGTGTTTGAGACAGAAAAACTGCTTGTAAGGCAAGCTCATAATGGACCATGATTGATGGATTGATGAAGTGTAGAAATTCAAACTTACCAGCCTTAATGTGTACATCTTGGCTCCTGATTCTCCCTGATGGGTTCTCTGCTGTGCAATAGTAGGTGGTGTCGTGGATGAGTTTGCTAAAGCTGGAAGGGGGGATATTGAAGATCTGAAGGGTGCCATTGGGGTGCACATGGCGGATCCCTGGCACATCATAGATCTCCTCGCTGGTGGCCAGGTACCAGCGCAGCGAGACGGGGGGCACGCCTACGGCGGGACAGGGCACCAATGTCCCTGTGGTGCTGGCAAACACTACCTCTTGCACAGATGCATTGACAAAATATAAGCTGGAACGTAGATCTTCACAGAAAACTGCAGAGAGAGACAAAAAAAAAAGTTAGACAAGCTCCTTTTTAACCTCCTAACAAAACATAAACAAAGAGTGGTGGCTTATTTTGTAGGCCGACCCGGAAGCAGGGGCGGACTGGGAGGAAAAAGTGGCCCGGGGATTAATTGACAGACAGGCCCACTTAATGCACGGCATGTATCGGCCGGCCGGCGACGAAAGTATGTTACTTAACAAAAAAACCTATGCATTTAATATTATTTTGGACCATTATTCATATAGTAGTCACATTACCTGAGCCGTTGAGTTGCCTAGAGCAAAAATAGTTACAGCATATATTTATTCATTTTAATGTTAACAGATCATTGATGCAATACAATTTCAACCCAATTTGCCTGACTTGACGTATGGAATAAAATATGGGCGTAGGAAGCATCCTCAATCTGGGTGAGACCATTTAACAGGGGGTGTGGGCAGGTGGTGGACCTCACCTCCTCTAGGGGGGTCCGGGGGTATGCTCCCCCGGGAAGATTTCTTTTTTAAATGTTGAAGTTAAATGCATCAATCTGGTGCACTTTGAGAGCAAAATTAGGGACTAAATCTATGGATACATCTTCAACACCCATATGAAACAGAACTGTAAACAGATTTACTTTTTCTTTCAACATTTATTTGAACAGCAAGTGGAGGCAAAAGTGACTGCACCCAAAACAATAAACCTGCTAGCTAACTAGCCTAAACTCAGTAACAGAATGTGGGCAACACGTTCTTCTCCACAGCCGTGCGACCTCTGAGTCAGACGTCACTTCCCCCTTTTCTATCCTACGGGTACAGCCACTCCCCCTGAACCCCGTTTCCCTGCCAATCTGATAGATAGAACATAGGTAGCCTATCAAAATGGCCCAGCCCAGCCCAGTGGGGTGCGGGCCACACCCCTCCAGGGAGGGGCCGGAACACTTACAAATGTGGGCCGGTAGGATTTAGGTAAAGAAAAAAAAGAAAAATTATTATTATTATTATGATGTTCGATGTGTTGAAGTTTATCAGTCTCATTTAGTCAGTTATTAACAGACATATTTGATGTTGTAAAACAAAACATGATCAAACAAAGATCTTATCTTCAGGCATCTAACCTAAAACATGTTCAAAAACTTGTCGACTTAGAGATGAGGGAACTAGAAAGTAAAATGCTAAACGCTATTTGCAGGTTTCAGAACTCATTTCTGCACCTCTCTATTGTATGCTATAGGATTTTAATTAAACTGACCAGTCACTATTGTGCAAGCTACCCACTTCATTGCAGAATAACAATTATATCTGACAGAATTGTGCTATCTTTTCTTTGAATTTAGGCTGAGTGTGTTTTTCTCTGGTTGGACCAGCTGCAGGAGAGTGTTGCTTATTGTCTATGAAGAGACATTGCAGCAAAGCTGTGGGAGAACAGCAATGGATGTGAAATAACAGAGCCAGTCTGTAGACACATCCGTGCTCTAAAGCATGCACATCTGTGAAAACAACCCTGAAAAGCTGACTATGGACTGAGAAAAAGGAAGCTTTTCTGATGATCAATTGCACATTGTAGTTGCAAGGATGTAAATTGTAAATTGTCTTCCCTGTCGTATATACTGACTAAACTGAACATATTGTGGTCGTTGACTGTTTTTTGAACAAAACACGAAACCCTACAGAATACACACAAATATATCGACAACTTTCCAGGCTTAAGCGACCCTTCTGAATAAAAAATAGTCCATGTTTAATATAAGGTGCTATATACATATTGTGTGAGTAACAATCTTCGAAATACATTTTGGTGTTCTCAAGGTTTTATTTGTCTCCTTTCCAATGTGTTTGTCAATTGTTCTCATGACAAAGTCACTGCATCTATACTTTCATTAGAATAAAAAGTGACATTGCTTCTGTGGCTTCCAAAAGGTTTCATATTAGACCTTAAAAGGTAATCCTGTATTGTAACAACTATACTGTTGCTGTGTGAGAATCAGCTTCCATGATTATAATCTGGATATTGGCAACCAAATGGCCCTTACAGCCAGCATGCAGTCGATGTGTCATGTTCATGTACACATTGATTGCAGACGGTGTTTCCAAGTCATCTTAACTGATGAGGCATGTCAATGTAATGTGATGCACTTTCCCTGCAGTAAGTTACTGTGCTGGATAAAAACTGACAATGCAACTCTTTGCTGTAATGGGCAACCCACACTGCTGGCACCAGGCCAGGATATGAATATTGGCTGGATCCCAAGAAAGGGCGGAGGACTTTAATACATCCACTGCCTTTTTATTTTTTTACTGCTGTTTGAGTTAAACAGTAATAATAATGAGAGATTACTGCAGAACCCAGTTCGAAGGATATTTCCCCCAAAAAAGTGTAGTTTTTAAATGCTCTTTCTATTCTGATGTTGAGATAACTAAGACAATATATATGTGTTATCATATAACTAAATTAGGAGCTTTATCAATATTTCCCCCATCACACCTTTTTACTCTTCCTTTCCCTTACATCCAGACCCTGAATTGCTTAACCCAGTTGAATTATGCTTCTGTTTTATTTAGTTATTACTTGAGGTGGATGTATGGGTTGTGTGCTATTGCTTTGTGTACTTCTACATTCCATAATGTATTTATTTGTATCTTTTGTCCCCCCACTAAAAGTTATTATGTGAGAGGTGCTATACAAATATAAATGTATTATATTATTTTATTTTTCCTATTATTATTATTACATTATTAATTATTATGATTATTAATAGTAGTGTTTTATTATATTTATTTATTATACTAAATAATACATTAAATCTGAATGGCAAATGAAAGAAAAATATGCTTATTTTATTTAATAAATGGTATTTCGTCTGTGGAGTTGAACAGTGTGTGTGTGTGTGTGTGTGTGTGTGTGTGTGTGTGTGTGTGTGTGTGTGTGTGTGTGTGTGTGTGTGTGTGTGTGTGTGTGTGTGAGTGAGTGGGTGTGATACAGGCTCTCTGCTCCTGTCGCCAGCCCGCGTGTACGACAGCTGCCAATCCCCCTCCCCAGAGACCAAACATTTTAGCGCTTCATAAATTCCTAATGAGCACGCTCAAATCATCGCCACTTCCACCCACTGGTCGTTGAACCTGTTAAGACAAACAAACAGCACGGAGTACACGTGTTTCCGCACATTTCCAGCTGCACTCACTTCACACATGCAGCACTCTGAGGGCCTGGCCTGGAGCTGTTGAAGGGCCAACAGTTGTAGTTGTCAACAGCTACAACTCTGTGGTTTCTTATCCAAGACGAGGTAAGAAAAGGCAGAGGAGCAGCGACACATGCCTCTTGCCTACTTTTCAAAACTGTTTGGCAGATGGAGAGTCAAACATTGATGTGTAAATTCACCAATATATGAATACGTTTTTTTTTTTCTTAGCAGCAGTACACACATATTCGTTGTGTTTGTCCCTGCATGTGCTTGTAGGGTTAGGGTTATTTTGTTATTTTGTGTGTACATTGTGAAATGTCCTGTTTTGTAGTTGACTTGATGCAGATAATAACCTCCAGCTTTTATCGTCCTGTCATCAAATTTCTCTGCATTTGTACATAATTCAAACATTTGGAAGGTTGCTTTAATCTATGTTTTAAAGACTAAGCATTGGTCCACACTCAGCATTAACCTAGAAGGATTACCTATTAATTATATTATTATTTCTCATTTCCTCAATATGACACATTTGATGGACAAACATTTTTGATGTAGCTGTAATAATTTTGTATGCTTGCAAAATATATAACGGGGAAAAAAGCCAAAGAAAAAAACATTCTTAATGGCTCATTTCCCATAATGATGCATGAAAAACTCGCAAACACAGAGTAACAGCTTGTCAGTTGTTTTCTCAAGTAGGAAAATGTGTCATCAAGATGATCATAAAATCCCAGCATCTGTTACGAGTCACAGACACACACACACACACACACACACACACACACACACACACACACACACACACACACACACACACACACACACACACGGCTGTTATTGTGACATTGTTTAACTGCTTGTAGTTACAGGTTATTAAAAATGCATCATCCATAGAAGCATTTGCAGTCGCTGATTTTTATTTTATCTGAGTTGAATTTGAAACCTCCATTGTCTAAACTGTATTGGATTTTAGACTTTTGTTTGTTTGGCATTTTACATGTTGGAGACTCCTTGGTTAATCATTGTAGGCCTACCTGGGTTACTTTACATTACATCACATGTCACTTAGACGCTTTTATCCAAGGCGACTTACATACTCAATACTGTGGGCAATCCCCACAGGAGTTTTTTTTCGGGTGAAGTGTCTCAGGGACACAACGAAATGCTGACTGCAGTGGGGTTTGCACCTGTGATCCCAACACCAACGCACTAGCCCACTGCGCCACACGCCTCCCCACTTTAATGTTATATTGTATTTCTGAACTTGCATTGATCATCTTACAAAGTCATTATCATCAATTTTAGGCGGTCATGTCTTTTTATTTGTTTAAAGTCACAAGAATACAAATATAAATGTACAGTAGAGCGGTCAAATGTAAAGCTCTTCTCTTTGCCTGAATGTATTGTAATTGAACCCAAACCTTTAAAAATAATCCCAATAAAAGCTTAAAATAATATAAGATACACTGTAAAAACCGATCCGCTGACTTTAGTTGAATTAATTATGTCAACAGATTTCACATAACTGTATTAGGTTAGTTGAACGCAATAATATTACGTTTGAATACAAAATATTAGGTTAAACTAAATATGATTGCTTTCACCTAATGAAACATGTGACATTTGTTGACACACAAGTCACAAGCCACAAGTCAACGTTTCAGTTTTTTCAGTGTGTGATGGAGGCTAGACCAGAGCAAACAGCCATCACGGTCTGATTTTTTATAAGGTGAGTGAAGATGAAAGGCTGCTTCATAACTGCTTTTGTCTAAATCCGCTTTGCACCAACTCATAAAAAATTGAGACGCCCACCAGCTCCACCTCCACCA